CCTTGACCCATGGTTAGCAATGGATCTGGTCCTTTCCATTGCCCCATAATGGGGTCCTTCCACCTTACCTGTACCTCAGGTCTCTGCTCCTGTCATCCCTAATGCTTTTGAAACTGGGATTCCAACTGATTTTTTTGAAAATTAAGAACATTAATAGTGAATAAGGTCATACCCAACTGTTGGTGGGGGCTCATTCCCCCTTTTTGTTTTTGTAACTGAAGTCTTAGGTTTTGATGGTTGCGTTCTATAATGGCTTGACCTTGGGGATTGTAGGGAGTTCCTGTATTGTGTTGAATTCCCCAAAGTGAAAAGAAACCTTGTAAATTTTTACTCACAAAACATGGTCCATTATCAGTTTTAATTCTTTGGCCAGTCCCAATGTAGCAAAGCACTGGAAAAAATGAGACTGACCATGTTTAGACTTCTCTCCCGTATGAGCGGTAGCCCAACAGGTATGTGAGAAAGTGCTGATGGACACAAAAATATACTTAAGCTTTCCAAAAGGAGCATAGTGTATGATATCCGTTTGCCACAAGGTATTGGGCTTGAGTCCCCTGGGGTTTACCCTTGGCTGTTGTACAGGCGGTACCTGTACGCAATAAGCCATCTTGTCTGCCTCTGCATTGTCTTGGGATAAAAGCCCAGGGAATCTTTGGTGCCCCCTAAGATGCTGTAAGAAAATAGGGGCTTCTCTCTCCTTAAGGAGCATACGAGTCTGAATACTGTCAGAAAGCAGTGGCCATCAGTTCTTTGAATTGAGCTGAGCCATCACAAGTGTGGACATATCCTTTTGGTTTCTCATCTACCACTGCAGTTCCAAATCTGCCCCCATCAGATTCGGTGAGCATTGCTGTCTACAGGGCAGACGGGACCCCCCCCCCCCCCGCCGCAAGCCACCTTCCCCAAACCGGGCCTTCCCAGCTGTCCCAGAGCCGGCCGCAACGCACAGCCAACGGTGGTTTTTTTTTGAAATGCGCCTGGCAGTTGCTGCTGGCGCGGGGGCGATCCCCCGCCCGGCTTTCGCTTGGGCCCCTCACGCACACGTTAATTTAAGGTGTGTGCTCCGCTCCACCCCGGCCTTCTGAAAAAGGCATCCATGGGTCTTGTTTTCATGGGTCCTGGGAGGCCCTGAAGCTGGCCAGGGCATGCCTGAGGCTCTGCTTGTTACTTTGGCCGCCTTTGGTTTCACTTCTGTTGCATTTCTGCATTCTTCCTCAAACTCTTCCCATGATTCCCATGTATCCCCAGTAAAAATATTAGTCCCAAGTAGCCAGGGAGCCAAATGAATCGCTTCTGCCCAAACCTTTTGAGCTACTGTATCTGACAGATCCAGTCCCCTGCTTTTAACCATATCTGTCAGTGCTTTAAGCGCCGGGTCCTCAAGCTTAATAGTTGCGTTACCCATCTTTCGGGTCTCACTTACCCCGAACTTTCTGATTGGCCCCAATCTGTTATTTTTCTTTCTTTCTTTTCAACTTCCTTTGAGCACCACGCTGGGTGCCAGTTGCCGGGGGTTTCGAGCCAGCGACCCCTGGGCAGTGATGATTGGGGATGAGTAAGCGCGCCATTCGCCAGCCTACGCCGCCCCCAGTACCGGGGATGATCAGACGTAAAGGGGAGTCTAGTCAAGCAGGGACTCATTTATTGCAGGTGTTAAAGAGCTTATAAAGGCACCTAGAAATCCCCCCTCCCCCAGGGTGTATCTTAAGGATGGTCATGTGCTGATCATGCACTCCTCAGCAGTGCAGAAGTATCCATTGAGACTTTTAAAACAAGTCAGGCCGCGCCCCACAGTAACTTCCTCTCAGACTTCTGCAAGGTGGGGCCTTTAGGTCCCCACATATGTTCACTGCATTAGTACATTTATTGATTGACTTTTTGGTGTTTAATTTTTTAGTTCTTTTTATGTTACAGATAATATCCCTTATCGTATGAATAGTTAGCAAAGATTTTCTTCCATTCTCTAGCTGTCTATTCATGCTGATAATTGTTTCCTTGGCTGTGCAGAAGCCTTTTAATTACATGTAATCCCATTTGTCAAGTCTTGAGATTTTTCCCATGCTATTAGAGTCTTTTTCAGAAAGTCCTTGCCCATCCTTAATCTGGCATCACAAGTGACTAGTCTGTTTCCCTCTGGTAATTTCAAAGTTTCAGGTCTATATTAAGATCTGTAATCCATTTTAAGTTGATTTTCATGTAGGGTGAAAACTGACGACTTCTACATATAGAAAACCAGTTTTCCCAGCACTATTTGTTAAAGAGCCTATCTTTCTTCAATACATGTTTTTAACCTTTGTCAAAAATTAGGTGGCTATAGCTGTTTAGTTTTATTTCTGAACTATTTATTATACCCCCTCCCAATATGTAATGCCTCATGAGTTGCATGTTTTCCTTGCACAGGGGCTATGCTAATCTTCCCCATGTTATTCCAATTTTAGTACTTGTGTTGCTGAAACCAGCACCTTATCTCTTGGTTTGATTTAAAGATGAAGTTGAGGCAGCTTAATGAAATGAACACCAAAACAAGATCAAATAAATGGATATAAGGATAAGAAAATAAAATAGGTGCTGGAGAGATGGCTCAGCGGTTAAAAGCACTGACTGCTCTTACAGAGGACCGGGGTTCTATTCCCAGCACCCCCATGTCGGCTATGAACTGTCCTTAACTCCAGTTCCAGGGGAATCCGAAGCCCTCTTCTGACCTCTACAGCATTGCATGACACGGGTGCACTCACATACATGCAGGCAATATGTTCATACACGTAAAATAAAAATAATAAAATATTTTTAAAAATTAAATAGAATTATTAAATAAAGACAATATTGCATGAAATAAATGCCTGTCATGTTGAACTGAACAGCCGCTATGGGCCACAAACATGAAAGGAGCACTGGCAGTGTTCACAGTGTGTCTCACTGAAAAGAAAAGCCAGCTGCCCATGAAGAACGATAGAGAGACCAGTGGATAATGATGAAAGGTTCGTGCCCTGAGCAGCAGCATTGGGAAGCTAGCACAGCAGCACTTGCATAGTGTCTTGAAACATATTTTCAAGGGAAGTCACTACCAATGTCAATGCCAAGTGTTTTGTTTTTTTAGAGGGGGGAAGAAAGGTAAAATTGACAATTTGGCATTTATGGTAAAAGTATTTGAAATAAATCTTAAGGCGTTTGTCCTTGTTGGACAATATCTGGCTACCTAGGCTCGTGTATTCAGGCTGTTTAGAAAGCCCACTCATTAATAGTTTGCAGACAAAGAGGTGTCCGTGGATCACAGCGCAGAGCTTGGAGGCAGAAAAGAACAGATAGTGTAGACAGAAACCAGGGGTCGAAGCCTCAGAGTCACACCCCTGAGAGGAAAGGCTGGACTTGATAGCAGTTGGAGAAGTTAATTGGCCTTGTCTCACAGGCCGCCTATATGGTGCCCCATTGTGTAGATAAGAGGTAGGTAGCTCATCGTCCTGTTAAGCAGTAAGCAGTATAACATCATTTTTCCTTCCTGAGACTAGACATTTGGGATGAGGTGCCAGAGGTCAGTAGGGTTAGGCTCTAGCTGTTTGTATAAGGCACCACAAGTTGCAGAGTCAGGTCCCAAGAAGTTAGAGTCTAATCATTGGAGAGTGGAGATTTTTTTTTTTTTCAAATCTCTGCGTTTTTTTCCCCCTGACAGAGAAGTCAAATCATTGACAGGGAATGAAGAATTCCTTTGTGGAGCTACTTCATAAGGTGCATGGAAGTGGGGGATAGAGTGCCCCTGGCTGGCATTGCTGATCTGTTAGAGTTTGGGAGGACCGCAGGCATAAAAGGCTTGACCATCTTCAGTGTAGTGGCCTGTAACCTGGAGGATATCAGTCGTAGAAGGTTAGGTAAGCAGAGACCAAACACAGTGAAGTGGAAAACAAGACACGGGGTGTGAACAGGAATAAAAAGGATGAGTTATTGTAGGACCTCTGGAAGGTAGGAAGATGTAGTGGTAATTATGAAGATGAGAAGTCTGGGAGTCCAGCAGTGTTGGAATACAGTGGTAAAGGTGTGGGGACAGGATCATAACTCCAGGAAAGTAATGGCCTCCATCTGTGTCTGCTAGAGTCTGGAAGTATTTGAAGGTTGGTTTTATTCACCTTGGTCTCATTGGAACAGGAGGAGATCTTCTAAAAAAATTTTATGTGTATATGAGTGCTTTACTTTCTTATATGTAGTGTACCATTCAGTCCTCTGCAAGAGCAGTCAGTACTCTTAACTGCTGAGCCATCTCTTCAGCTTGTAAAAGGAGATCTTTAAGAGGCTAACAGGAATAGATTGCTTTAGCTTGTAGTGGAAGTCTTCATTCTGGATAGAGGCATTCACAGTGACAGGCCTTGTAACTTGACTACAGCTGGACACACAAGGAACACTCTATTTATTTGGTTCAGTCGGCTGTGGGTAGACTTTTTAGCCTAGAGGAGGGTTTAAAGCTCGACCCAGACTTTTGGGTTATGTAGGGAGGTGATCTCAAACAGTGGAGTCAGGCTTGGGGTTGCACTTACCCTGACAGTGACAGCCTTGATTGTCTGTCCTAGTGATACACTGAGACAGGTGAGCAGTATTTGTCTCAAGGAAGAGCTTCCTGTAAAGAGTCTGGGATGGGTTGTAGACTGGGAGTAATCTTGGATTATAAAGATGCAGATTTTGAGAAGAATGAGTCAAAACTGTCCAGTCTTGAGTGGGAGCTTAATAAGAGATCTCTAAGAGTTAACTTCGGCATTTTGAGCTTCCTGGAAGGTTAAGGGTACAAGGCTATATGTAGATAATACTTAAATTTTGAGAGCTTCCTCCCTCCATAAGTGATACTGGAGATCAAAGCTGATGATTATTAGAAATCTATTTGCCAGTCTTTCCCTGGTATAGTTCCCTTTCGCTTGACAGACCGTAAAAGGGAAAGAGATCTGAGGGCCCCTTCAGGGTTGCCCTGAAAACTAGTGGGACAAGATTTGCAAATAGACCACAAGATCTGAGGAATTTCCTTGGCAATGTAAACAGGCTCAATCAGAATTTGGAGGACTTTGGCCTCCTGTTGCTTAGCCTGATAAAAATTGTCAAGTGTCTTCCATTGGGAGCATCTAAGGAGTAATAGTTTGACTTCTGACTTGGAAGTAAGGTTAGACGGGCTCTGAAACCATTCCTCTGGGGTGGCTATGAAGCCCTGATCATAAACTTATGGAGTCTCTTGAGTATGTATTGAGGGTGAGGGATTGGGATTGGGATCTAAGACAGTTTGGAGTGGAAGCCAGGCTGCCTGATTAGCTTGTTGATTGGCTTGAGGGGACCCAGAGCAGTACCAGAGTGGGTCTTCTGTCGGGCTTCCAGGCATAATGGCCACCTGAGTTTAAACAGGCTTCTAGAAGGGTCAGTATTTCAGAGACATGTTTAATAAGAGTATTATGAGCAGTGAAGTGGCCCCTTTTTGTTCAGATAACTGCATGGGCTTGGGTTAGGGTAGGTCAAATCTGTGTAAATGAATCTCATTCCTGCCCCCATCTGAAGAGATGGAGTAGTGTAGCTCTTGAGCTGTTTACCCAGAGGGGCCCAGATTCTATGGCTGCTGTGGGGCTTGCTGTGAAACTAAAAGCTTGTATCTGGTGGGCGGTCAGGAAGCTACTTTCATCTGTGAACCAGCCCCTAGGTGGGAATGTAGGGAATCTTGTAAATCTGGTCTAGCACTAAGGGAAGGTCAACTGTCTCCACAGGAATGTTTCAGAGAGGCCTCAGGCTTAGACTCTGGCAGCAATGTAATTTAAAATTTGTAGTAAGCTGTGGAGTTCAAAAGAAGAATCTGGTACTTGTTGATTCTGCTGTCTGAGACTCAATGGAAGGCCCTTGTAAAGTTTTTAAATAGGCAATAGCTGGTTACTTGACTGTCTTTGTAGAATTTTTAGAGGATCTGTCTCCCAGCTGAGCCAGATCAGGATGACGCTCTTGGTTGGGGGTTGGTAGAATTTTATTTTGAAGTACTATTTTTGGTTATACCTTCCTGTTGGATGTTCAACAGACTTTGTAGGTAGCCACAAAATAACTTTTTATGGTCAGTTGAGGTGCCTTATTGGGGAGGTTACTTTCAGAGACTTTCAGGAGCCCCTTACCAGAGGGGCCACAATCTTGCTGACCATATAGGAGCATGAGGACATTTCCTCTATGATGATCTTCTTTGCAGAATGTACAAGTGTTGGAGTCCAACCACTTGGATTTCCTTGGCGTCTTACCAGAGCTGTGGGAGCCTTCTAGAGGTGTTTCCTGGTCCCTTTTATACCTCATATTTGCTGGTTCTTTTCTGAGTGTGTGTGGTTTTTTGTTTGTTTGTTTAAGACAGGGTCTCCCTGTAGCCCCAGCTGGCCTGGAACTCACTCTGTAGACCAGACTGGCCTTGATCTCACAGAGACCCGCCTGCCTCCAAGTCCTGGGGATAAATGTATATGCCACCACCTCAGGCTCTTTCTGTATTACTTCTATAAAATTCCTGATGTAATTTAGGTTTTTCTGTTAAGAGCCTGGACACAGCCACATTTGATCAGTCTGTCTTTTATATAACAGATGTAGCTGGGGAATGGTATTAAAGCTTAAATTGCTATTAGCTAAATATCCTTTAACATTTAACTTAAATTGCCTGATGACATTGTTTATGTAAGGCCAGGTTAACTTCCTTTCCCTACTGTAAGTTTAAAATAACTAATTTGTTAGATTTGTTCCTGTCTTAGGAAGTAAAAGGAATTTGGACTAAGCTTATATTTATTCTTATTTACTTATAGGTCAATTTAAATTAAATCCTTTTGTGGGGGATTTCGTGTAAACATACCATATAACATGCACCTAAAGGTATATAACATATATCAAGTCATAGACACAGGCTGACAACTGGATAAACAGACAAAGTGACATAAACAGTTGCTTGGACACAGTTATGCCCACTTGTACAAGAAACCAGAGAACTTAAAACCTGGTTACATTTAATTGGAGTATATGCCCTTAGTAAAGGCAAGTTAGAAGACTTATATTGCAGGGGCACAGAGCCTAACCTTAACTTTTAGAGGGGCCCAGTGAAGGCAGAAGATCAAATGTGAAGCTTGTTATGTAGACAGGTGGAAATGCAGCAAACATGTTCGTGTTAGTAGATGTTTGAGAGATGAATAGCAGTTAACTTTTCTCTGAAGGAGAGTGCGTCTGGATAGGGTGAGGGACTGGTGGAGAGGGGAGGTGGGAACAGTGGTTAAGTGGAGGAGTATCAGGGAAGAGGTGACAGAGAAGCTGAAAGGTTGAGCAGGGGCTAGTGGAAGAGAATCTGGTGAGGCACATGCAGTACCTCCTCTTAGCTGAGGGTCCAGTGAAGACTTGGATGTAATGAATTTCAGTCCTTTCCTAAGTTATGACAGAATAGATCTGATTGCCAAGAACAGTAGCTTCATGTTCCAGTAGGCAGCCAGTGTTCTGTAGTCATAGCCCAGAGGTCTTGGGAATCTCACTCAGGAGCCAATCCACCTGGCAGTATTCAATTGCCCTTAGGGGCTGTTCCCTCCACCACCACAAACATCAGTCTCTAGAGAGGCAAGAGAAGAGTTCCCAGACAGGCCTCCAAAGTGACCTGCTGGGATGATGAGCTCAAGACACAAGGTGTTCATCAGACGGGAAGTGGTAGAGAAGTTTTAATACAGAGTAATACTGGACAGAAGCACAGTGATCAGTTCTGAGGGTAGGGTGTGAGAGCAAGTGCTGCCCTGAGAGAGTGGTCCTTTGACAGCAGTGAGGACAAGTTGCCAGGCCTTGTCTCCTGGACCATATCTGTGGGTCTTCTCTGAGCTGATGACAAGTGGACAGTGTGATGACGAGCTCACTTTCTTGTTAGGTAGGAAACTTTACACCACCATTTTCCTTCTCTAGGTCCCAGTTGTTTGTATAAGGCATCACAGTTGCTGAGTCAGTTACCAAACAGCTAGGGACTGATTGTTGGAGGGTAGGGCCTTTGGTTTTTACTTTCAGCCCTTTATTTTTAGTCTTTTTGTTTCTACAAGAAGCTAACAAAATTTGAGATTCCAAGTAAAGGATAATTAAGGGTTCAACCAGGATCATACCTGTAAATACATTTCAGCAGAAAATCCATGTATGAGAGACTTTGCATGGAATCAGCAAGACTGTTATTACTGTATTTAATCAGTACTAAATCTATTATTTATTGAGACCAAGTCAGAATGACTCTTTAAAAACTTTCCCAGTGTTGCTTTTGATTTCTAATGGTGACTTATTTTTCACCAGGCTGACGGACTTACTCCTTCTCCACCCTCTAATGAGTCTCAACCGTTCTTTGACTGGGAACCTTTGGTACTTGCAGTCATGAGTAACGTGTGCTCTGTATCTACTTAGCGGTGTTTTTATAATACTGTCTCATCCTTTCCTTTCTCCTTTCTGGCCATGATGTCTATGCCTGGTGTCCTCTTCACACTTCTGATTGGCTTTGGAACTTCTAGGGAATTAAAATTTCTTCTTTCTGTTCTGTCATGGTTCATAATTTACAACTAAACTGACAGGAGATGGGTCAACAGGGAAAAACATACAATTTATTATGTGTTACACACAAGACTATCCCAAGTAAGGGCCAGATAATCAAAGTTGATAAACTTTGGAATAGAGGTTAGTGACTTCTACTGGGGAGCTGTTAACAAGTTATGGGCAGGTGAAGGGAGGGATGCATGGAAAATGAAAATGTTTCCTTACTATGCACATCCAGTCTCAGGTAGTCTGAGTCTTCAGAAAAAGTAACGATGGTATGCCTGTCTGGTGAATGTCTGGTTGGAGTGTTTAACTCTAGTTAAACACATTACTAGATTCATTTTTAGATAGATAAAGGGGTGCTTACAGAAAGCCTCTTATCTCTGCTAAGTGAACATAGAGGAGTATACATTTCTTCTGTAAGAAGACGGCGCTCAGGGCTATCCAGGTGTCTGTCAATTCTCTGGTAGCCATTGAGAATGCTCACACGTGTACTTGCTCAGTGCATGCTTGACTGCTATACCTTGAGCAGTGGTTTTTCCTCTTGTGCTTTGATTTATGTTCAGTGGTAGTTGCTCAAGCAGCCCAGCTTGAAGGTAGGTCAGGAAACAGTTTAAAGTTAACCAGCAAATGCTCAGAACTTCCTTTCTCTGTTTCTACTTCTGGGGTCTTACCTTTCTCCTCCTGGGCAAAGAGGTGCTGGTGTTAATTCCTCCCTGCCCACCTTTCCCTAGAGCCCTCGTGTGTCGGTGCTTCCTACAAACGACAGAATGAAAGAAATCCAGACAGAGGTGAGTTTGGAGCTAGGTTCCGATCTGGGATTTTGAAGGGGTGGGAAGCTTGATTTCATAGAGGCTATGGAAATGGGGAAAGCACTGTTCCCTCAGCCCACTGTCATCAGGGCTGCATAGCAGTAGAGCAGAAGAGCAGGTAGTTGGTGTCTGGGCCAGCTGTGCCTGCCCAGCCACCTGCGGAAGGGTGGGCATTGCTAGGCCACTGGCAGGAGGGGTGGTTGTGCTTTCCTTGCTGGCTTCTTTTGCTGCCCATGTTTCCTTTGTCCTTTGCTTCTGGCCTGCCCCATTCATTTATGGAACAGGTGTGAGTGTGTGGATATGATAAACCACCTGCTTGGTCCTTCAGTGTTCTTTGCTTCTGCACAACAGCATTCGTTGATATCTGCTTAAATTAGCCTTTGAGCATCGAAAATCAGGAAAGGTTCCAAGGTTCCTTGGAATGATATCTGGCATCACTCCAGTAGTGGTGTCTTGTTTGTAAAGCAAAGTGAAAAGATTAACAGGTGTCTGAGCTGTTTGTGTCTTTTGTATCTGTACGTTGATGTTTTTTCCTGTGTCCTACCTAATGCTTGCTAAAATCGAGCCTGTTATTGGCACCAGAATTCCACTCTAGCCTTCCCCGGGCTCCCTATCCTCAGGATCTGCTTAGAGAGAATTTGAGATGAGACACACAGAGCCACACAACATAAGTAGAGTTCATTACAGAAGTAGGAGGAGCACTCAGAAAGGTGAGAACGAACAAAGAGACCATTGCTCCTTCCACACTTTGTACTATTTCTAAGGTCTCCAGAACAGATAGCATCTCCTGAAGAATATTGTCTTGCTGAAATGATTGACACACCCATTTGGATTGACTCTTAGGAAGGGGACGATGATGTGTCTACCTCTTCAGCTAGGTAGTAGTCCTAGGACCTTCTGGGAGGTCAGTGTCATGTCTCCATTCAGGGCCAGAGGTGTGATTCAGATCCCATTCTTGACCCACTTGCAGGTTCAGTTCTTGTTCTAGTCTGCTGGTTTTGAGGGAGAGGGATCCCCAGTGATCTTCAAGCCTGCTAATGTCTGAATAGCTACCTAACATAATTATGCCTTAATTAGCATGATCTGCTGTGCTGATTGGGCCAGCATCTCATCTTCTTTAAAGGGATTCCTTAACTGAATAGGATGGGGAAGTCATTTCAGCCTAAGGGTAGACAAGTAAGATTTACTTTTTCACGTGATTTTGAGTGCCTACTCAATGTGTTTAAGTTCTCACGCTAAGTAGGCCAGAGCTACTAAAAAGCTGTGAGACTTGTTCCTTCAGGAGCTCTTGGCAGTGGGTACACTGACACTCACAGCATAGGTTTTGCCTTGTGCAGTGGAAACAGTAAGAAATTATTTTGTTCTTGGTCATTTGGGGGATATATACTAATGGTCTGCATTAGTTTCTTTTGATTTTTAAGGTCTACAGGAACTTTTAAACCTTTTTTAGTTTGAAAGCCTCTTATGGTACAAAAATTATGGTACCACAAGCATCTAGGTTTTGTCTTTTAAAAAAAAATTGTTGAGGGGGCTGGAGAGATGGCTCAGTGGTAAAGAACACTGGCTGTTCTTGCAGAAGACCTGGGTTCGAATCCCAGCACCCACATGGCAGCTAACAACAGTCCGTAATTCCAATTCAGGGGATCCAACATCCTCTTCTGTCCTCTGTGGGCATTGTATGACACAGATGCACTTGCCTGCATGCAGGCAATACATGCATACACATAAAATAAAAATAAATAAAATATTAAAAAAAATTGTTAGACACGTAAGAGTCGGAATACTGTCTTGAGCACAGGGTCTCAGCCTCAGTGTTACTGACATTTGAAGCAAGGTGATTCTTTGTTATGGTGATGGGTGGGGCTGTCTCTCAAACCCAGACACTTGTCACAGTCCCTGGCCTGTAGACAATGTTAGCCAGTGGTAGTCTATCACAGGTAGTAATCAAGAATATCTTTATACACTTCCCAGTGTCAAGTGGAATAACAAAATTAAGTGTCTGTGGTTGAAAACCAGTGCTGTAGAGAATGCCTTCCATCTTTGGGACTGGCAAGAGGTGTTGTTCACTCTGCTCAAGTCAGTTAGAAGCCTGAGTATCTGCACCTTGCTTAGCTTTAGCTGGGGCAAGAAGTGCTTAAAGAAGCACTTGAGTTAAAGCTGGCTCTGCCGCTGCCGCCTGCGGGTGGTTTGGTCTTTGCTTTTGCTTTTGCTCTTGCCCGCTCTCCTGGCCTTTGCCCCCTTTCCAGGCTTCAGCAGCTTTTGTGTGGCCACTTTCTAAACATCTTACCTATGTTAACTGGTATTTTTAGTTTTTTCGTCATTTAAGATCAGAGGGTTGATTATATGTCAAATTTTATTTAGTAAGATGTTTTTCAATCAGGAGCAGCTTACTTCTAATGATTATTAAAGCTATTTAAATATATACAAATAATTTGGTTGTTGAACCTGCTACAGTAATTTTTATGTATTTTCTGGCTTAAATTTCCATTAAAAATGGTATACAGTATCTGTCAGGAGTCAATGATAAATAATGACTATCTCGGACAGTCTTATTTTAAACAATTTAATGCAATTTAATATAAAACAATTTAATGCAATTTAATGCAAATGTTTGTTAACATCATTCATGCCAGGTATTGGCCTAGTGCTCCGAATGAATATTCCAATTTTTTAATGACATGGATGTCTCAGGAGCACCTGCAGCATTTCTTGTCTGTGGCATTTGAGCGGAGCCTTGACTGACTATTCTCTTGGTATCTACACACTAATAGTGTACTGAATATTTTCATTGTGATGTATTAAAGATCATCAGGAACAGGAAAGAGGAAACATCATGATTGAGAATGTGTTTTGCCTTTCTCAACATTCTGTGATTGCGCTTATCATCTGACACTGGCGTGGCCTCGACTGCCATGAGTGATACTCTTTGATTCTGCATTACTTTCTTTGTGATGTCACGAAGAGATGGTTAACATAAAAACGTAATGAGACATTTCAGCATTAAAACACATATATGACTTTATTTGTTCAGCTACAAAACTGGAAACTTAAAAGCTAGAAAATTGCATCTTACTTTTCCTCATGTTGTTTCTTTTCCTATATTATTTCTTTCCTTATATATTTTCTTGTATAGGTAAAGAGAGGCCCGTCCAGTCTTTGAAAACATCAAGAGATACTTCACCTTCAAGTTCTTCAGCAATTTCTGCATCCAAGGTTTGTTACTTTTCTAAAATTGGTTTAAAGTAGAAGTACAGAACTGACTCAGCAGTAAAGAATGCCTGCTGTTCTTGCGTGAGGACCCGAGTTTGATTCCCAGCACCCATGTTGAGCAGCTCTCAACCGCCTGTAACTCCAGCTCCAAGGAAACCCGACAACTCTGCCCTCTGTTGACACTGTACTCACATGCACACACCACCAATACACAGAGTAGAATTATACAGTAAATGCTATTAATTGCTTAGAACAAACATTATGTATGGGGCTAAATGATCACATATGAAAGGTTGACTTCAAGTAATCGCAACTTGAAAATATTGTAGAAGCCAGGATGAATGATCTTTTTCCATAGGTTGTTTTTTCTCTGTAGGGTTTGCTAAAATTAGTACTTGCTATTGCAGCACTTGCTCATCTTGACGTTAGAAAAGTGAGAATAAATACTTAAGTGAGGTGTAAAGGATTTGCTTTTATTTGGAGGAATTGAAGGAACAGAGAGAAACCTAACTGAATACTCAGTATTTTCCTCATACAAGAATTCTGTGGGTAGATAGGAGTCTCCATTCTAGAGGGGCTGGAGGCTTAGACATTAGTTTCCTCAAAGGCTTAGGTGCTCTCCAGAATGCCATTTAAAAAAAAATAATTTATTGATAATTTCATACATGCATATAAGATATTTTGATCAAATCCATGCCCACTCCCTCTGCTCCAACTCTTCCCATATTTCCCATCACGTTTTTCTGATAACTTCACATACTCTTTCTTCCTTTGTTTTTTTTTTTTTTTAAATGGGGCTTTTGCTACTCTAACATTCCCCCCGCTGAAGAGGTAACCCTAAAGTCTTTTAAGGATAAGAGCTCCCAAAATCTTTCAACATTTTTGTCCATTGAGTATGTTGCTAAGAGGCCCAAGGACATTTTGACTTTCAGCCAAGAAACTGGCTACTTTTCATTGGGGTCTTTTTACCCTAATTGCCTAGCCAATTCCTACCTCCTATTATCACACCATCCCCTGCAGAGTTTACCCAAATTGCTGACAGGGAATTGGGATGTAGACCGCTCTGGCTTCTTCCATGCTGAACAGGGACACAGGGTGAGGCAATTGGAGTACCCCTTCAGTGGGTCTATCTAAGAAAAGAAAGCCTGTAACTGGTGAAGAGGAGATGTGAAGGAGAAGTAACGCAAGAGTAGTTAGCATTACAAGTTCTAGACAGCGAACTAGAAAAAAGTCAGAACAGGGCAATTTTCAAATGTTCATATGAGAGTCCATTGGAATTTCCTGACAAGGGCTTCCAAAAGCATTCCTCTCTTAGGTTCCTCCTCATTTTCCTTTTCTCTTCCAAGGCTGGACTCTAGAATGATGGCTTCAGAATTTGCTTTCAGGCATTTTGATAGCTGTTGGAGTGGTTAGAATCAGTGTCAGTTCCTTCTCAAAGGCTTCTAGATAGGGGGAGAAAATAAATTTAGCCACCATTTTAGAACAATAGTGGGTTGTCTCCCTTAGCTACAGGTGGGTATTATAGTATTGGAGACCAAAATTTGAAGTCTTACATCTGATCAGTGTTTTCTAATAAGGAACAAAATCATCAATGAGAAATAATTGTCCAACTTTTTATAGAGACTTAAGCCTAATGTCTGGGAAGTGTAATCCCTTGAACTCTTTGAAGAAATATACTAATCACTTTACTCTTTGATTATACTTTCCTTTTGGGTGTTTAAGACCATACAGTTGGCCCAAATAAGTCAATTTATTTTTACACTTCAGGTCGTTTGAGGATCTGTTCCTCAGGGGTCACATGGGGCTCCTTTCTTTAACCAGTTCTGTCTATGTAATGGTAAGTCAAAAGTCGTGCTTGACCATGGCTGGCTTCACTTGGAAGCATGGAGGAAATGTTTCCCCTGAGTTGACCTTCCTCTTTGTAGACTGGACACTGGTTCAAATCTGGTAGGGTCTCCATGACCTCTCTGAACAAGAGCACAGGTGACTAACCACAGTTACAGGACATTTTGAGAGATGTTCCATAGCCCCCTGGAACTTAGTCGAACTTGGAGGGCAAGGAGCAAAAAATGTCCTTTAAGTCCCTCTGACCAGATAAGTATAGGCCTCAAACTGTGGCTGTTAAACATCCAATGAGGTTAGTTCTACCAGTCTGGTACTTTTAATTACCATGTGCTGTGTAGATAAGGCTTGGGTAAAAACCACATATTCTTAGATAAACCTTGACTAGATATATATTTTGTTCTTGAACTAGTTGACTAAACTACGACCTTAGAAATTTTAAGATTATGTGTATTATTTTTGTCTAATCCTTTATATTTATAACGAACCTACACAAACCTTCATCACTTGCTTAGTCTTTCTCACTTTTTCTGTCTTTTTCTGTGTCCCCATTCCCATATCCTTTTAACATCTTTTACATTCTCATTTTCTTTTTTTAATAATTATGAGACATAATAACATTAACAAATAAATTTTCCAACTGCTGTGAGAATTCTTTACCTGGGGTTACTACGCAATGCTTATCCCCTTTTAACATTCTAGTGTCATACCAGTGTTTGATTAGAGTCTTACTGGGGAACCAATGAATTTACTGACCTTACTTACCAAGATAACTGAGGGTGTGCTGAAGTATGTGAAATGACCTGAGGCTATGCATACATTTTTGCTGGGTAAAGTATTCTGGGGGGGCATCTCTTCTCATGTAGAACTGGAAATACCTTGGTCCAGGCTCTTCTGGCTTTCATAGTTTGCATTGATGTCAGCTGTAATTCTGATGGGCTTTCCTTTGTTTGTGACTTGCTGTTTTTCTTTTGCTGCTTTCAGTATTCTCTCTTTGTTCTGTACACTTAGTGTTTTCACTGTGATATGTCAGATATGTGATATGTGGGGAGTTTCTTTTCTGATCCTGTCTATTTGGCATTATATGTGCTTCTTGTATTTGTATGGGGATGTCTTTTTTTAATTTTGGGAAATTTTCTTCTGCAATCCTGTTTAAGACCTGGTCACTACCATTAATCTGAAATTCTTCTCCTTCCTCTACGCCTACGATATGTAGGTATGTTCTTTTCATGGTGTCCCACATCTCTTGCATATTCCATTCCTTTGTTTTTTTTCAATTTTTCATAATCTTTGAGAGGTCCAGTTCTTCAACTTTATTCTCCAATGTTGATAGTCTGTTTTCCATTTCATTCATTCTAATGGTGAGGCTTTGCGCTGTTGTTTTAAGTTGGCTTATTGAGTTTTGCACTTCCTTCTTCATTTCTGCCTGAGTTTTCTTCAATGTTTCTATCTCTTGTGAATTCATTCAGAAGTTTCTCCTTAACTTTTAGTTCTTTGATTTGTGATTTGTTTGTTCAGTGAATTCCTTGATCATGTTTATGATTGTTCTTTTAAATTCAGTGTCCTGGGTTTTCTCTAGGGGGTTCTCCTTGTAGAACTCTTCTACAGGACTGGTAGAGTTTGGTGGGGACATAGTGTTTTGGCTTTCCATTTTATTCTTCAGTTGTGATTTTGGCATGTGAATTTCTTTTGTTGTTTGTAATTCTGATAGGAGAATTAAGTTGAAGTTTGCTTCTGTTTGTGTTATTTGTGTGCCTTGTTCCTTTTCTTACTGGTTATGTAAATCTGGTTGGTCCATGTTTCAGGGTCTCTCAAGTTTTATTTTGGATCAAACTGATGGTTTCAGATTAGCTATTCAGGAGCACTCACAGAAGGCCAAGTCAGGTTCCAGTCAGGTCCACTCAGGCTTCCTTCTAAGTAAATTCCTTCGAGTTTGCTAGTGGGAACTCAGAGAAAATTTGTGAAGTTCACTAAGGGGGGGGGGCCTGATTTTAGGACTCTCAGTGGTCTGCTGAGTTTTCAGCCCCTATGCCAGCAGAAGTCCAGAACGGGCACTGTATGGTGGTACGCTGAGATCACAGATGCTACATTGATGGAGGTCAGAACCCACCCTCTCAGGCTGTTTGCTATAAGATCTTAGACTTATTCTACCAAAATCAGGTCTGCCCCAGGGCCTTGGGAGGGGCCTCATGGAATCCCAGTTAAGGGATTGTGTAGGCTCAATTAGAGGTCGCTCACCACCACATGGAGGCAGGATCTGGGCACTCTCAGGCCCTGAGTTCTCAGCCCCTATGCCAGGGGGAGGCTGGAACAGGCATTATCTGGCGGTCTGCTAAGGTCTCCCAGGATGCCATTCTTTTCATCTCTATTTCTCAGCATCTCAAACCATCTTGGAAGAATGGACTCCCTCTTTCTTTTCTTTCTGTAAATTAAAATTGTGTGTGTGTATGTGTGTGTGAGTGTGTGTGTGTGTGTGTGTGTGTGTGTGTGTGTGTATTGGGGATGTATGTTCACATAAGTGACAGTTACTCGCAGTGAACAAAAGAGGGTGTTAGAATCCCTAGAGCTTGAATTCCAGATGATTGTGATGTACATGACATGGTTTCTGGGAATTGAACTCGAGCCTCTGAGAACAGTACATGCTTTTAGCTACTGAGCCTGCTGTCCACCCTGGACCCCATATCTTTAATCCTCCCAAAGTACATTTGAGGAATTGCTATTTCTGTTTTCTTTAGAGTTGTCTTTACAGATCTTGTGCCCTTTCTTGTGCTTTCTTTCTGTTGTTTCTAGTCGTCTCTTCACCACATCTTTCTTTATCTCTTTTTCACTGTTTCTACATTTTAGCAAAAGTAGATGTCACTGGCCATGCAGTGCTGGGATTCTGGGGCAGCAGCTCTTTGTCTCAGAGGAAGAAGTGAGATTGCTCTGACAGATCTCAGGGTTCTAGAATGCCAAGTAGCCTTTTGCTTTCTTTTGTGATACTGGGTAGAATTCAGGTCCTTGTCCTTGCATATGTTGGCAGACATTCTACACTGAGCAGCATCCCCTGCCCTGGAATGTCAGCTTTTTTTTTCTTAAAAAAATTTTACTAGCGTTGCTTTTTTTTTTGGTCTTTTTGAGACAGGGTCTCCCTATAGGCCCAGCTGTCCTGGAAGTCACTATGTAGACCAGGCTGGCCTTGAACTCACAGAGATTCACCTGCCCCTGCCTCCTGAGTGCTGGGATTAAAGGCGTGTGCACCACCACACCCAGCAGCATTGCTTTCTTTAAGAAGTACAAAGATTACATTAAAATACTTTGTGTAGGTTGGAGAACTTGGAAAGGGCAAACTCATATTAAAGGAGTAATGACAGATTTCACATCATTGTTGAAGCTTGGTAGTATAGTTTTGTCAGTAAACAATATTAAAAAATTATAGTAGACTTGTAGAATTTAGAATTTACATTCTAGGATGTAATTATATAGCTCAGTTTGAGAGTTGTATCAGTTTAGTTATTATAGTATTTGCTTTTTTGTTGTTGTTTTTAACTTCCCACAATGAGGTTTTTCTCTCTAGAAATTCAGTTGGGGCATGAACGCCAGCTTTCTCTGATTTGCTCGTTACTGGTATATAGAAAGGCTACTGACTTTTGTAGATTAATTTTGTAACCTGCCACTTTACTGAAAGTGTTAATTATTTCTAGGAGTTTTCTAAGTGGAATTTTTCACATCTCTTAGATATAATATCATATCATCTGCAAAAAGGGATAATTTGGTCTCTTCCAATTAGTACTCCTTTAATTCCCTTCTCTTGTCTTATTGCTCCTCAAGAGTTTCAAGCATTATATTGAAAAGGAGTGGAGGTAGTGGACAGCCTTTTCTGGTTCCTGATATTAATAGGAATGCTTCCAGTTTTTTTCCATTTAGAATGATGTTGGCTGAGGGATTGCTGTATACAGCTTTAATTATGTTGAGTTATGTTCCCTCTAGTCCAATTCCCTCTAGGAGTTTGAACATAAATGCATGTTGAATTTTGTCAAAGGCCTCCTCTGCATCTATTGAGATGACCATGTGATTCTTGTCTTTGACTCCATTTATACAATTTATGATATATATTGACCTATGTACATTGAACTGTTTTGCATCTGTGGAATAAGGCCAACTTGATCATGGTGGATGAGCTTTCTGATGTGTGTCTGTATATGGTTTGCAAGTATTTTGTTGAGAATTTTTGCATCTATATTAAGGATATGGGTCACACCGCTAGACTAATGTGATTTCTTGCTGGATGCAAAATATGTATCCTTATGTTTACAGACAAATATCCCAGGAACCACTCATCAAAGAAGCTCATTTTGCACCAGTCAGAGATTATTACCAAGTACCACAACTGGTCATACACAGACATTGTCTATGAATTGCCCAGACCTAAGTGATACATCTATAATGCAACCTCTACACCTCAGGCTCATGGAACATAAAACAGGGATAATGAAGAGGATACTAATGATTCTCTCATTTCTCTGTAATGAAGTTCCCTCATGCAGTGGAGGGCCAGGAACACAAAAGGTCATAAATAGCCAAAGTGTAGAGATCAAGAGTGTGCTGAATGGTGGTCCTTGGACAGGATCCCTTTATTAAACTTCTCTCACCCAAGACTCAGGGACCATCGAGGAAAAGGGGGCAGAAAGATTGTAAGAGCCACGGGGGAGGTGCATGACCATATGGAAACAGAGTCCCACAAGCTCCTGGGAACCTGCCCAAATGATTCTATGGCAGTGGTGTCAGCACACACAAGTCCCATGCAAACTCAGGCAGACAATAACCCAGCATAGAACTGGGAAAATGAACAGCAGACTTCAGTCTTATCTGAAGGAATGTTGGCAACTGATTGCTGCTAGATGAAGAAGAGCTGATCTTCCTAAGACAAAACAAGGGGCTCTAGATAGGCTGACTGGAGTTAGTGGACGGACTTGCAGTCAGGAACGGCTGGGGGCACTAACAACACATTGAGTCTTCACGGGAATGACAGAGTATATGGACTCCAGTGGGGTGGGGGGTGCTATGGGAGAGTGCCAGTGGGGATGGCTATATAAAGATGATTAAGATTGTTTGAGCTGTTCTGTATGAAATACACAAAGAATTCAACTTTAAAAAAAGAATTTACCATAATAAAATTTCACCATCATTCATTTCATTAAAGATAAGAGGTTGAAGTCAGAGTTGGGCATGTGGGCACACATCTCTGATCCTAGCACTCCAGAGGCAGAGGCAGGAGGATCTCTGTGATTTCAAGGCCATCCTCATCTATTAGCGAGTTCCAGGCCAGGTAGTAAGACTCTGCCTCTAAAACTAATACAACAACAAAAAAACCCCAAAGTTGAAATTAGTCTGATCTTATTTATGTCCTACTTACAATTAGTATATAATTTGTTGGTGTCCTTTGCATAGGGCCTTAGGTAAGTTCTTGAAATTTTATATAAATGAAATTATGTGTGATGGCTAGTCTATAGGTCCCAAAGGAATTGAAAGTTAAAAGTATTCTGTGTTGATGGGGCTGGCTCCGCTGCTCTTGCAACTGTAACTCCCATTCCAGGGGATCCAGTGCCCTCTTCTGGCCTCCATGGACATTGCACAACATGGTGCACTTACATACATGTAGGTGAAACACTCATAAAATAAAAAATAAATTTAAAAAAATTAAAAGAAAAAGTTTTGTGTTGTTTGTTTTGCATTTTGGTTCTTTCGGTTTTTATTTTTATTTTATTTTTAAAAATATTTTATTATCTTTATTTTGTGTGTATGGGTATATTGCCTGCATGTATGTGAGTGCACCCATGTCATGCAATGCCACAGAGGTCAGAAGAGGGCTTCGGATTCCCCTGGAAGTGAAGTTAAGGACGGTTCGTAGCCACCATGTGGGTGCTGGGAATCGAACTCGGGTCCTCTGTAGGAGGAGCCAGTGCTCTGAACTGCTGAGCCCTCTCTCCCTTCCTGGTTTTGATTTTTTACATGGTGTTTCTCTATGTAGCCTTGGCTGGTCAGGACTTTCCCTGCCTCAGCTTCAGCCTTCCTGGTGCTAGTATTACTGACAAATGCTGTCATACCTGGCTTTATTTGGGATTTAAAAATTATGTGTATGAGTGTATTGCCTGCATGTATGTAAGTGTACCCACATCATGCTGTGCCCACAGAGGTCAGAGGAAGGTGTTGGATCCTCCAGAACTCGAGTTACAGATGGTTGTTAGCTGCCATGTGCGTGCTGGAGCAGCCAGTGCTCTTAACCACTGAGCCATCTTGTCAAGCCCCTATTTGGAATATTTTTGAAGGAGGAAAAAAAGGAATGTTTATGTTCTCCATAGAAATGAAAAATTTATAAAATTTAAGCTGTGTAAATGGGGTGTGCTTCTTAACATAACTGGGTTAAAGACCTGCAAGAATTGTAACAACAGTGTTCTTTTCCTTTATTAGGCGTTAGACAAACCAAGTAGGCTAACTGAAAAGGAACTTGCTGAGGCTGCAAGCAAGTGGGCTGAAGTCTCTGAGTTTGAGGTATATCATTACTTCTCCTTTATGTTACAGATTGAAGGTTATGTATAGATTTCATGTATTTATATTTATCTTTTTAAATAATTGTTTTGGAAAATTTCATGCTTCAGCATTGTGTTTGCATTATTTCCACCCCCAGGCCTCCTCCAGTCCCCCTTAACAGTCTCCAACCCCCTCACAGTTTTTGTCCTCATCTTTGATTGTTAATTGTCACGTGCGCACACATACATTTGTAAATACACACATGACACATTAAGTCCATTTAGCATTGCTTGAGTGTTCGTGTGTAGGGCTGCCCACTTGGGATTTGATAACCTCTCAGGGAGCTAGTTTCTTGAGAAAAATTATTGTCCTTCAGCATCCATTGGTTGCTTATAGCTCTTTATCTTGAAGTGGGACCCTGGAACTTTTCTGTATCCACATTGGCTTGTCAGCTGACTTTGTCATTATGCAGATCTTGTTAGATCTTGATTTCATGGGTGCAACTTCCTTATTATGTCTAGAATATTAATTAGCAGTAAGTGTCTTGTTTCTCTTAATTTTTCTACCCCCACTTCTGAGATTTTCCCTGAGCCTTAGGTGTAGAGGTTGCGCTGTAGATGTGTCACTTAGGGCTGGGCACCTCACCGTCAGTTATCTCTACATTCTGACCAGTTGTGGAACTTTGTTATAGTCTCCATCTTTTGCCAAAGGAAGCTTCTTTGATGAGTGGTGAGAGGCACATGTGTTAGTTATTTTTCTGTTGCTGTAATAGAAACACTGACCAAAGCAGTTTATAGAAGGAAGAGTTTATTTGCTACAGTTCCAAGGGAATTTACAGTCTGTCATGGCAGGGAGGCATGGTGGCTGGAGGTGGCTGGAGGTGGCTGGAAGTGGCTGGAGCAGGAACAGCAGAAGCTAAGCTCTCACACCATCACGCAGGCACAGGAAGCAAGAGAGTGTCTGGAGATGTGGCAAGGCTTAAGAACTCACTAAGCCCACCCCCAGTGATGTGCTTCCTCCAGGATAGCCACACCTTCTAGAACCTCCCAAAACAGCGCCAGCATCTGGGCACAAAATGTCCAGATGCTTGGTTTGAATTTTCACTCAAACCACCATAGCACACTTTTCTGTGATTATAGGGATATGTATTTAGAATACAGGAAAAATTACGTGGGTCTAGTAAAGTGGCACTAAATCTAGTAGGTTCTCCTCTGAAGGCTATGACCTCTCCACCCATGTGTGCTTTGCTATGTTTACAGTGCCATGCATAGATTCCCATCTAATGAGTATATCTTTAAGTCCTGTTAGACAGCTATTGATAACCCCAAGGTGAAAGTACTGCACCAGTAAAGATAATTTGGTGGGCCAGTCAACTGTTGTGCAAATAGGCTCCCAGCTGGGCTGAACCATTGATTGGTTGTCTCCCTTGGCAGCTTGGATAGTATCTTCTGATACTATGATGGTTAGTCTTCAGGGAAGAGGCTTTCAGGTCAGTTCCAACTCATTTACTCCATGTAGAAGATCAACCTTCAAATTCTGGAATTTTGTAAACTGGGGGTAGAAGTTAGGTGTGGTACTGTACACCTTAAATCCTAGCACTTAGGAGGTGGAGGGAGAGGCAGAGGATCAAGTGTGGTACTGTACACCTTAAATCCTAGCACTTAGGAGGTGGAGGGAGAGGCAGAGGATCAAGTGTGGTACTGTACACCTTAAATCCTAGCACTTAGGAGGTGGAGGGAGAGGCAGAGGATCAAGTGTGGTACTGTACACCTTAAATCCTAGCACTTAGGAGGTGGAGGGAGAGGCAAAGGTTCAAGAGTTCAAGATCATCCTGGGCTACATAGCAAGTTTGAGGCTAGCCTTGGAAGAATGAGACCCTATCTAAAAAAATTAAAATGAAACCAGAAAGGGGATAGTGAAATGGAAAAACTGACTCCATTTGGTTTTAGCTAAATTTTGCTTTATGCTTTGTTTCTGCCCAGCCACTCCCACTGCAGCCAGGCAGCCGTGAAAGCTGCACCTGTAGTTTCAGGGGGGTTCACTGTTTTCTACAATACTGGGAATTTCCAACTAGCCTGGTAGCGCACCCTCCCACCCAGCTGTACCTACATCTCCATGTTGTCCTCTAACCCTGGTGTACCCGTATCACCATGGAGCCCATTGTCTCTGTTTTTCTTAATTGAAATTTTTTGTTAACTCGAAACCTCTTCTTAACTGACCTGTCCTTGGTCTGGTGATCTCATGTAACTGTGGTTATTTGCTCTGCTCCTAGCATAATGTAATTGTGGTTTTATACACTCCTTCCCTAGCATAATGTAATTGTGGTTTTATACACTCCTTCTACCTCCCCTAGGGATCAAGAGTTCTTAATGCAACCATCACTGTGTGGCATTCCTCTGTGCCTTTGGCTTGGTACAACACAAACTAAAGAACTTTGGCAGTTGATGGCTGCTGGGAGGATCGGAAAAACAGTGTCTTACAGGGTTGGGATTCTTGATGGGCCCAGTGTATGGATCTACACTGGACATTAGGGGACACAAATCATACTCTATGGACTACGTTATTTATAAGAGAATTCATTAAATTGGGTAGGGGAGGTAGGGAGAGGTGGGACAGATCTAAATGTCATCAAATTATAGTGTATGAAAATTGCAAAAATTCAATTAATGCAAAAAAATAACCCTTAAATGGGAAACAAAATCTGATTTTCCTGAGGTGTTGTATAAAATAACTGCTTCACAACTAATTGTTTTGTCTACAAAGTAAATAAAGTCTAGCTTTGTTTCTGAAAAAAAATTATTACTCTGTGTGTATGTATGTACAATGTGTGTGTATGGGTGTATGTCAGAGGACAAGTTCATGGAGTTAGTTTTCTCCCACCTTTATGTAGATTCTGAAACTCAGGTCACCAGGCTTGAGCTGCAAGAATCTTTATGCACTGAGCCATCTGATGGCCTTGTTTACTTACTTTATTTATGTAACTGTGTGTGTGTGTGTGTGTGTACGTACATGATCTGTGTGTATGGGTATGTGTACCGTGGAGTGCATGTGGGGGTCAGAGGACATGTCGGTCCAGGAGTCAGACTCAGGTTGTCAGCATATTTCCCTGCTCAGCGCTCTTGCCAGCCCTGTTCTTTCTTTATTTGCTTCTTGTTTTATAGAATCTTATATTAGCCCAGGTTAGTCAGTGATGCTCCCCAACTCAAATCTTTTGAGTATAGTCTGATGCGTTTGTAACCTGTGTTGCTGCAGCAGAATACCTGATTGGGGAGGATTTACACAAACAGAACTTACTTCTTAACCGTTCAGGATTCAGGGAAGTCCAGCGTCAAGGTGCTGTTAGCTGTGGAGTGAACATGCTCTTGACTTCTCCCATGTACCTTGAATGCTGCATTCTGTGCAGAGGAGAATTTCTGTTCTTCACATGACAGAAGAGCAGAGAGCCCATCCCTTAAAGCCCCCTATTTTATATTTTTAAGTTTTACTTATTGAAAATTTGTATCATGATCGTCTCCATCCTACTCCCTCCCTGTAACTCCCCCAACACATCTTCTTCTGTCCCATCCTCATCTTCTTTTTAACCAACTGAATCCCAGTTAGTGCTGCCCATTTACGCAGGGGAGCGTGGGCATCACTGGGGTATGAGAGCCTGCCAGTGGCCATACTGCAAGAAAGGTGGCAGCCATCAACTGCTGACGACAGCTCCTTAGTAGGGATGGGGCCCTGTGAGCCTCTCCCCATGACTGATGGAATGTTGACTGACTTGATCTTGTGTATGTCACCATAGCTGCTCCGAGTTCATGAGTGCACTCGCCATGTCATGTCTAGAAGACAGATTTCACAGCTCTCAGTCTTCTGGCCCTTCCATTCTTTCCGCCCCATCTTCTGTGATATAGATGTCCCATCTACAGCTGAGCACTCACAGTTGCTTATGCTGAGCACTATACGGGCATTAGGCTCTCCATTACCACTACCTACTGTAATAAGAAGCTTCTAAGATCGAGTGGGGAGCAGCACAAATCTCTGTGTATAAATGTAAATACTTAGAAGGCAGTTTGACATTATGACCACCTAGCAAAACAACATCAGTTGGTTCCCTCGTTGGGCTTATGACTTTTTTAGCCATGGGTTTTGACCAGGTTTACAGTATCGAGTGTGAATTCCTTCCTGTGGAGCAGGCTGCATATCGATCTAATCAAGAGTTTTTCACTTGATAACCTGTGTCTTTTGAGTTCCTGAGCAGCACTGTTCATCCACGTAGATATGTCTGTTCAAACTCCCACCAACATTGAAATAATAAATTATATTTTTAATTAGCTGGCAAACTAGTGGAGTTTCATAAGACTTCTGAACACCCTCTCAGTTTTGCTTTACCCACCCCAGCTCCTCTCCGTCCCCTGCCTCCACTCCTAGTATGCCTTAGTGCTTCATCCTCCCTGATCCTTTCACATCACAGGACTTATACTGGCGCCTCATATTTTTTGTTTGAGTTGCAAGATCGATAGTAGGTTCCCATATAGCTTCTTTTAAAAAAAATTTAGTACTTACTTTTGTTTTGTGTCTATGAATGTTTTGCCTCCATGTATATATGTCACCTGTGTTGTGCAGAAACTAGAAGAGGGCATTGGATCCCTGGGACTGGGGTTAGGGATGGTTGTCAGCCAGCATGTGGGTACTGGGAACTGAACCCAGGTCTTCTGCAGGAGTAGCCAGTGCTCTTTACTGCTGAGCCATCTCTCCAGCTCCCACCCCATAATTTCTTGATGCACATTTTGATGTCATTTTGGTTAACCCTTCTGCTGTCATCTCATTTTCCCACCCCCATCACTCCACTAACTGGATCGAACCTTTGCCCCTTGTGTTCTCTCTCTGCTTTCACTTATGTTCTACTATCCCCTATCCCTAAATGCATCTCTCTCCAATGGCCTGTTTCTAGTTTCCTTGTTTCCACACGCACTTGAGGTTGAACATGCAAAACGTAGGATTAGAAGCTAGGACCCACGTACTAGAGAAAACATGCA